CTCTCAAAACGTAACCTACATAACTACAAGCCTGAAACCCTAAACCCTAAACCCTAAACCCTAAACCCTAAACCCTGAACCCAAGCACCTTAGTATTGGACCCTTTGGACCTTACTACCAGGGTTTGGGGAACCTCGGGAGACTGAACCCACGAGACTAAAGGCCGTCGTCGATCTAAGCCCTAGAATCCCTTATGCCCCAAAGCAGAGAACAGTTCTGTACATTCTGCGAAGCCTTGAATCCTAAAACCCTGAAGCCCCAAAAGAAAGAACACAACCCTCCCCTAATTAAACCCTCAACCCCTAAACCCTAACCCCTTACGGTTTAGGGTTTAGGGCTGACCCCTAAACCCTAAATCCTACAAAGCTCTTGAGGCTGGTACCTCTCTACGGCCCGATCGCTCCGGAGGCTGCTGCCGCCCGAGCTCCCGCCACTTTTCTACTCTTAGAGGGCCCCTAGAAATTCTATAAGGGTTCTTGGTTTAGGGATTTAGATTGTCTACAGGAGCTGGGTTTCATGAGGGGCGGGGTCAAAAAAATATACATATTATATATATATATACACACATATATATATATATATATATATACGTATTTATATATTTTTTTATTGATTTTCATTTATTTATTTCTTCTAGCATCATCTTCTTAGAGGGTCCTTCAAGGCTAAGGGTTATTTTTGTTCCGCTAAAGAGTTTTTATGAGGGCTATAGAGCTTTATGAGGCTTCTATAAGGAGTGTATCTGCATGAGTCGGTAAGGGTTCTAGAAGGCTCTGGGGCCTAACCCTAAACCCCAAACCCTAAACCCTAAACCCTAAACCCTAAGCGTTTGGGGCCTGAGGCTTGGTTTTGGTTTTAAATTGGCTCCGAGGAGTTGGGTTCCAGAAGGCTCAGCTGTGGCCGAAAAAGATCTAGCTTTTTAGGGTTTAGGGTTTAGGGTTTAGGGTGCCTTATGATGGTTTCTATGTAAAAATCCCTATCTTGGGGTCTTAGGGTTCCCTATTATGGTTTTTCGATATATAGTCCCTAAAACCCTAAACCCTAAACAAGGTAGGTCTTTTCGGCTACAGGTAGGGTTCCATGGAGGGCGGTAGGTTTGTGTTTGCGGAAGGCATCATGGGCCCTGCACCTAACGTAGGGTTTCTTTTTTCTAAAGGGTTCCCTAAAGGGTTCTATAAGGACTATTATAAGGGTTTAGGGTATAGGGGCCCCCTTAATAATTAGCTATACTATTTTTTTGGGGGGGGTTCCTTCTTATAATTATGGCATAAGAATTCCCAAAACCTTATTCTGATTATAAAGGCCCCTATGTTAGTTGAAGTGAATCTACAACTCTCTTTACCTACAGTTTAGCAGCCATTACCCCTTCATTGATAGGTAGAACCCATAAGACTGTAGGCAGTTAGAGTCCCAGGAAACCTGGGAGCTAGGATTAAGGGGACCCTTGGGGATATAGACCCTCTCAATAAGGTCCCTTTTAAGAGAGCCAAAAGTAGGGTTCAGAAGGAAACCTCAAGCAAAGCTACCAAGAGCCTCCTGCGAAACTCATTCCCAGACCCCGTAGATCCAAACTGTCCTAAACCATATTCCTGCGAACCCCTGAGCTTTCAATCCCTCACCTTATGGTTTTTAGGGCTCATCGGGCTCATAGGGTTTATAGGGTTTAGGGTTGATAGGGTTCATAGGGCTTTGGGTTCTTAAGCCCCGAGCCTGAACGTCGCGTAAGGTCGGCCTTTACTTTGAGGCTCAGCTTTCCAAGCCCGGCAAAGAGGCTGCCGCGGCCTGAGACCTGGATTGTAGCACTTGTTTTGGACAACCCATTGCATGGTGACTGTAGGTTAGACTAAGATATAGCGAAAAAACCACATTCAAGGGCCTAGCTGAAGCCTTCGGTGCTAAACTTTAAGCCAAATTCCTGGACTCCGAACACCGCTTCGCCATATGGGTAGTTCTCTAAATTACGGTCCATCTGTAGGTCCCCAATATAGTACAGCACCCTTATAAAAAGGACCCTAAAAGGGACCCTAGTTTAGAGAACTACCCAAAAAAGCCTGACTACGGCCTACCTGTAGCACCTCCTGAATTACAGGGCATAACCTTCAAAGCAGTAGGTTATCGGATCTCAAGGTGAATGATGCATCGCAAGTGCCTTGAGTAGGTTGAGCCCACACCCATCAACCTTCTTTTAAGGAGCCCTTCAGTGAACCAGTAAAAATACCCTACTAAACCCGTTACCCTGAACCCCAAACCCTAAACCCTAAAATAGGGAAACTCGAAAGCTAAGCAATAAGCAGAGCAAGTTACCCTGAACCCTAAACCCTGAACCCTCAAATACGGAAACTCGAAAGCTAAGCAATAAGCAGAGCCAGGTTCTGATCCTGGAAGCGATGGCAGAGTGGCTGAAATCCGATAAAACCTTCTCGGAGGCTCACCGTTTGGGGTGCGGTTTAGGGTCCTGGGCTTGGGTTTGGTGGTTTGGGCTTTAGGGTTTGGCTTGGGTTAATGGTTTCGGAGTTCATTGACAGTGCCTGGCATGACGTGATATAGTGGTTTCTACATATTTCTATGGGGTCATAGCGCAGAATCCTTTTCTAATCGCTGAGGCCGCCATTATCGTTTGTGGATTTGCTCTGGGTTCGGGTCGGGAATTTATAGCAGCTTTCCCTTCGTTCGCTTTATATCTATACGAGAATAACAATAGCAACGATAGCAATACTAACGATACCATGGTAAGTATCTCTAGAGCGTCCGAAAGCCTATTCCGGTTCTCGAAAGCTTACTTCAATTCTTCAGGCCTCTGTTGAAAGCCGAGAGGCTGAGGACTTGCTTGGCAGTCCTCGCATAGCACTCGCAATTCTCGAACATCGGTTCCCTGAGTGTGTGTGTGTGTGTGTGTGTGTGTGTGTTTGGCTTTGTTTGAGGGGAGGTTCGGGTAGTGCTTTGGGTTTCTAGTAATCTTCGGACACTTTTGTGTCTTTGTGGGGGATCTCGGGTGGGTCACCGTTATCCGCAGCCTTACACGGGGTCCCTGTCGAGGCATGTTTACATTGGAAAGGAGGCGCTAAAGAGTGAGTTTCGGGTTGTGGGGTTTTGGGTCTTTGGGGTTTTGATTTAGGCAGTTCGGGCCTACTTTGGGTTACATGTTAGACTGTTAGATATGAGAAGGGCCGATCCGTCTCAGGTGGTTATCGAAGGCCACTGCGACCGGCTGGAGCCACAGGCCTTGCTATTGGTTCTGGGCGGAAGATGGTTTATTGCCATTTTCAGTTTAGGATTTAGGGTTTAGGGTTTTGGGGTTTTGGGTTTAGGGTGACTTCCGCAGGAGTCCACTACATAGCATGGGTTGCTGCACTATGACTACAGAGGAGCATGCTTTGCAGGTAGTTGGGCCTCCCTTGGTTTGGTGATGTAGTGGATGTCGATTTGAGGTGTTGTCAAAACCCTAAACCCTGACCCTAAAAGTCACGGTGTTGTTCAAGTTTGGTCAGGGCCTGCTGTTCATGGTTTCGCAGACATGGCAGGCGCCACAGCTGTCTCTTTCTCGCGCGAACGCTGTGCGGGCTTGGGACTCAGACGGCTCCCATCACCTTGTGCTTATAGGCCTTCTCTCCTACAGGCCCCAAGACTTCAAGAGTCATTTTTTCGGCCGAAACCCTAAAACAGTGAATCCTAAACTAGACAAACTCTGAGCCCTAAACCCAAACACGCTTGAAACAACAAAACGAAGCAAAGCTTTAAGACTTGTTTAGGGTTGTATAAGGTCTTGGTTGGAAGGCTGCTAGAAGGTCTATTTGGGGTTAACCTTCCACCCTTGGCCCCTGGGTTTCATCTAGCATGCTACACCCTACAATACGAAACTCCTTCCTTACAAGCCCTCAAAACACTATATATAGAAATAAATAAATAAATATAAATATAAATATAAACATATATATATATATATATATTCTATCATAAAGCCATGCTGCGACTTATGAATGCTTGGGGATGTCGTGTTACCAGACCCTTGATTTTCGGAACTTGATGACCTAAGCTGGTGGGATCATAGAGCCCGTGTTGTCCAAGGCAGTGGATTCATCAAGGAATCACCCAACCCTAAACCCTAAACCCCGAAGGGTTGTTGGTGACATCCCAAGCCGTAGTTTCAGGTTGAGGGCTTCAAAGGTTTCAGTACAGATGGCTGAGGGCGTAACGTAGGGGCCTTAGCAATTACCTATACTCTTTTGGGGATTCCTTAGTATAATTATACTATAGTGGGCAAAACCTTTTCTAATTATTAAGGTCCTTGTATTATGCCAGGTACATGTTCTGAAGAGAGCGTGTAGGGTTTAGGGATCAGAGAAACCTATCCAGACATGGCTGCGGGCCCTTGTAGTTTACCCCTTCGAAAGTCCTAGCAGTGCACCCAGTAGCTGAAGGAGTATACGTTTCATCTTTTGGGTAAGATCGTCTCCAGTTTCATGAAAAGTTTAATTGTCTTTGGGCTTCTGAACTTCATCCCCTGAGTTCGAACCTAGAATTAAAATGTATACTAGTTGATTGGGACAGATGAATTCAAGCACCGAAGTGCATGACCTGTGTACCCCAAGCGCAGGGCTACTAGACCTGAACCTGAACCGGAGTTCTTGTTAATTAACCCTGAGGGTTCATGTACTCATATAGTCTATACATTGGCCCCAAAGTACCTATATAGGGACTAATTTAAGGCCAAAGTATATACTATTTGGATACATGGACCCTTAGGGTATAGTCGCCATTGTAGTTCCTGTTTTTGGTCTAACCAACTGTACTGTACGGTGAGGATCTTATCAGGTAACCGCAAACAGGAACTACAATGGAGACTACAGGTAAACTGAAGCCGCTATATTGAACTTTAAAGAAGCCTATGCAGCCTTCAACGCAGCCCGAGACCCAAAACCCAAATCCCATAAGAGTAAAGCCGCTCAGAATCATAAACCCGAAATTCAAGCATATGAGAGCTTCGGAAGCACCGAATGGAGGCTATCGGTTTTTGGCAGCGACTTCGGGACCTACGAGCAGATCGCCCTACCCGGCACGGACCAGGCCACCTTGGCTGGCGCAGCCCACGATGGGAAGGAGCCTCCGGCTCTGTCTCTTAGGCTTTCTATGAAGGGTTTAGGGTTTAGGGTTTAGGGTTTAGGGTTTAGGGTTTTAGGGTTTAGGGTTTAGGGTTTAGTATTTAGGGGTTTAAGGGTGTAGGGTTTAGGGTTTAGGGATTTAGGGTTTTGGAATTTTGGGGGTTTGGGGTTTAGGGTTTAGGGTTTCTATGAAGAGCCCCACACCCTAAAACCTTTTAGCCTTGGGCCCTAAAGTCTACACCTTTACAGAAACCCAAGCCTTAAACCCTAAAACCTAATATAGGGGCTTCAATAATTACCCATACTATTTCAGGGGCTCCTTAATATAATTCTAGTATTATAATATTCCCCAAGACCTTGTTCTAATTACTAGGGCGCCTACATTAAACCTATGAAGTGAGTGTTTGATGACCCTAAACCCTAAACCCTAAACCCTAAACCGAGGGTTTTGAGCTTGAGGGAGCTCTGGAGCTCAGGATTTAGATTCGCTTTCTGGATGCAATGTACCCAGACAGCCCAATACCCCTTAATTAGGGAATATACCTTAGGAGTCCAATAGGTGAAGTTTAAACTTGTTTGGTATATTAAACCCCTACTAAAAGAAAAGTTTAAACTTTTTTGGGCCAGGGTATTGGGCTTAAAGGATACCTTAAATCATAATATTAAGGCCCCTATAAGTTAAGGTATATTCAGTATTATTCCGTATTTAACGGGTATTGGGTTCTCTGGGTAGGGATAATTAGAACAGGGTTTCGGGGCCCAATATATTATTGTAGCTACAATAAGGAACCCCCAAAACAGTATTGGTAGTCATTTAGGGCCCTACATAATAGCTTTTTGCATACCAGTTTTGGGGGTTCTATAAGTTTCCCGTAAATTGTCTATAGGGTCTCTGTTTAGTTTCCATGGGGTTGAGGGTTGCAATAGACAAACGAGCCAAGTTGCGTTCGTTCAAGCTCGTATGTATGATACCAGTTTACATGTTGTTCTGAGGTCCTGGGGAAGTAGGTTTCATTACTTACTGTGTTTTTGCTATACTTCTGAGCTACTGTGCAAGACTTCGCTTTTAGTCTGTGAACCCCAGACCCTGCACCATGTTAAAGCCATCAACATCTCTAAAGTGAAGCTGAAAGAAACAAGCCTGAAACTCTAAACACTAACCGTGTAACCTCGAAACCCTCAACTCCAAAACCCACAACCCCAACACCCTAAACCCCAAACCCTAAACCCTCAACCCTCAAAAAAAACCCTAAACCCTAAACCCTCAACCCCCAACCACAAAACCCTTCTAGGCCTCCATCCGCGTAACCCTTCACGCTCAAAGTGTCTAAAGAATGCTGACGCCCTCGGGTTTCTTAATTTAGGGTTTAGGGTTTAGATTCTTACCCTAAACCCTTAACCCTGAACCCGAAGCCCTAAAGCGTAGCGCGACCCTATTTCTATTTCTTAGTTCAAAACCATTTTTCCCCAAGCCCCCAACCCCCTCTACATCTCCCTAAACCCTGAACCCTAAACCCAAAACCCTGAACCCTGAACCCCCAAACCCCTCTACCTAGACGACCCAACTACCCTCTATTCTACCTCAAATACTACTATTAAGGACCATAAGGCCTCTATTAAAGGGCCATTGGGGCTCTTGGTACATCTTATCACTCATACCCCAAACCTAAAACCCTAAACCCTACATCCTTAACCCAAAGCCCCAAACCGCAAAAGCCCTCAACCGCAAAAGCCTATACATCCTAAACCCTAAACCCCTGTACATCCTAAACCCTAAACCCCTATACATCCTAAACCCTAAGCCCCTATACATCCTAAACCTATAAGCCCTAAACCTATCTTACAACACATGACTCAATCAAGATCGAGGACATTTTCAGGTGGGTAGTTACCGTTGTAGGAGCCTTATAGAAGGTCCATATACCTTATGGAAGAATTATAGAAGCCCCATATACCGTAAACTCCCCACCTGTAGTT